GCTGCGTGGGCCTCTGCTGCTGCTGCGGATCTTCTTCTATTGCGCTTGCTCTCCCTCTCCACTCCCGCCAGCAACACATCCTTTGCAGGCCTCCTCTTCTTGGATTTGCGCCACCGAGCCACCAACTCGGGCCACTCCATGTTGTAGCTCAGAAGAGACACGGTCATGAGCTCACCAAGCTTGGCGTCGCACAGGTTCCCCCTCAGCCAGCTCTTGATCACGTTTTGCCGCGAGAACCCGCGCTCGCACTCCACAGTGCTCAGCGGGAGCACGGCTACAGCGATCCACAGGCGGACAATGTTGGGGTAGCTCGTTGTCCAATCTGGTGAGGAGAGCATGTGCTTCAGGCCCTCCGCGAAGCCGACATCCTCCTGGTGGGTGCTCATGATTGTCGCGAAGGTGTTGAGCTCCCTCTGTGCTTTGGCCCAGTCCACACCTGTACGAATGGGCGGGTGAATAGAGGAAGACAAAGATGCGGCCGCATGAATACAAATGTAACGCGACGCGGCTTCAAAACGATTAAGCCCGAGATCTCACGACAATACGCCTAACACACCTGGCAGAGTGTCCGGATCCTCGGGATGCTTCTTGTACATGTCGCGCAGCGACTGCAACCACTGCGCCAACCGTCGCTCGCGCTTAGCCTGTGACTTGGGGTATTGGGACTTCTTGAAGAGCTTCGCGCCATTGAGCGACGCGAGATCATGCAGTCGGTAGTCGAGCTGCTTAATCAGCTCAACAACGAAGTCCCGCCCGAGCTTCAAACAGGAGTTGAGGTCGCCTTTGCTCTGCTGCCCCACGATAGCCTCTTCGTGCAGCAGGTAGCGGTGAGTTGTTGGCACTCCGGTGGAATCTAGGCCATCAACCTTGACCTCCCGACACTTCCCCGAGGCATGTTTCGCCAAGAATGGACCCAGCGCAGCGCCGCTTTGCCCGAACGTCTCGTCGTTGCTGTCGAGGTAACGAGTCCGCAGCAGGAGTGTTGTGTTGTGTACCGTCTGCAGCACATGGTTGGCGTCAATCTGCAAAAGCATGAAGCAGAAATGGTTAGATTGTGACTATGGTTTACGAAGGCGGTTGCAAGCGTAAACATTAACGCGTACCTGTCGTTGCTGGAACTTCAAGTTGAGCAGGTTCAGCTCCTTCAACACATCGGCAAGCAAGTAGAGTAAGAAATGGAATTTGAAACTAGTCACTGTCGCGTACATCTTTTTGTCGAATTCCTGCAAGACGATCACAACCGCAGGAAACACCGCGACGAGTCGCTGGATCGCATTGCCTCGGGAAAGCCACCTCACGTCCTTGATGCCCTGCATCTCCAAATGTGTCTCGCAAATGACCTCTTGCAGCTCCTTGAAACGCGTATGGACCACAAGGCGCCCGAGAATGTCGACCACAGACCGGACCGCCTTGTCCACAATCTGGAGGTCAGGGAACGCGGTTGCTGCATCTTTTGCTACCAGCGCCTCCCTGCATGAATCAACCGAAACATTTTAGTACACGCAAGATAGGCAAATCAACATACAACTTGGTATAACTCGCCTGTGAGCGACACAGTGGCACGAAACGAGATGAGGAATCTTCGTGCGCAGCCGCGCGACCAACCCGTTGTGCTGGCCAGTCATCACAGAAGCGCCGTCTGTGCTCATACCGCTAATGCGCTGCAGATCGATGCCCGCCGTCTCAAAATGCGTTAGCAGACCAGTTAGCAGCGAGGCGGCGTCACACTGCTCCACTGAGAGCAGGGTGTAGAACTCCGTGACTGGAAGGTTGTCGCGCACGAAGGTCATGTATACTATCATATGCTTCCCGCGCCTACGGTCCGTGCTCTCATCCAGCTGGATCCCGAGAAAGGGGCTGGCTCGGATGTACTGCAGCTGACGGGACCGCATGTATGACACCATCGTCGCCACTAGCTGTGCAAAACCGTACCTGTAACACAAAAACAATAGGGGCGTGAGCATGGTGGAGCAGACACACAGACATAAGCGGGATACAGAAATTTTACTCACTCGCTGTAGTACGTGCCGTTTTCCTTCACGGGCATGTCCGGCGTGCCCTGCTCAGCCATGAATTGAACAAGAGCAACGAAAAGCACAATAGGGGCGTCAGATTTGCAGATGAAGAGAGCGATTGCCATTAATCGAGCAATTCGTCTGGCGTCGTCGTCACCCTTGTCGAAGGTTGTCATGGACTTCTGGCCTTTCTTAAGGCCATCACGTTGTTCCTTCTGCAGCACCGCGGCCTCGTGCTTCACGCTGAAATGATGCTTGCGCATCGTCTGCTTCTGAATGTCGAGGCCGCCTTCACCGTAGCGGCCGTACTTGTAGTGCGGGTCCCCGAACACCATACAGACGCTGCAGCGCATGCACGGTCGCCCGTCCTTCGTCTCACTGATGAAGAGCCACGGGAAATAGCGAAGCCACTGCTCCTTACACTTGAGCTGCAGCTCTTCCACAGAGAGCGGCCGACGTCCCTTGGTTTTGCCCTTGTCCTCTTCTTCCGAATCGTCATCGGCGGATTGACGAGTCGTGGGCGGGACCGTCTCCGATGGCGCGGGCAAGGTAGGACCTGCGGGACGGGCAAAGTTAAGCATCCTCTGCTTGTATTTAGCTTTCAGTGAAGCCCTGTCAGGCAGCACAGGGTTAGCCCGAAGATCGGTGGTTGTTGCAACAGAAACAACAGGGCGGATGGATTCACGGCCGGATGTAGGCGAGCTTGTCGACGTGGGCGTGGTAGCCTTGGGCATGCCATCGTCCGCCTTTTCTTCGGCCACAGTGTCTGGCGATGCGTTGGTTGGGGGTATAACTTGGGTTGAGCATGAGGCAACGTGGGGTGCAACGACGGGGATCGACTTGCCCCGTGTGAGAAAATCTAGCGCTGAGACTCTAGGGGGGTGTAACTCCTCTGGAATGGCCATCAGGGGGTATGGCGAAAGTGGAAAACTGCACTGCGGGGCCAGTCGATTGCAGCGGAAGAAAAGGATGTAGAAGATGGACGGTGTGCCCCCAGCCTGGTCCCTCAAACCCTCGTCCCGTAGCTCGGCAGAGTGATACGCGGTGCGAGTGTGGGCGGGGAACCACAGTTACGTGCATCCACGATGCATACAGGTCACCCCATCGCACAAAAGGATAGTGCCGGTGCCTGGGTGTAGCTGGCATCGGCGCCGACACCCACGCAGCGACAAAGTGCTGGCAGCATCTGACATGGTTAACTGCTGCCAGCGGTGCTGTTTCCTCCAGCGCGGATGCTACGGGACAGAAGCATTCATTACGCATGCATGTATAGATGCTGGCAGATACCCTAACTAGTGGCCCTATGGACAAGTGGGCACAAATGTCGGTTTCAGACGGAATCGTACTCGTTATCTGGATTCTCAGATGAAGAATAGTATGCGATCTGAAAATTTATCTCAAGTAAAATCATTTGTCTTACTGATCATCTGAAAATAAAATCACAGTCTTACAGATCATCTGAAATAAGAAAATGAAGTCTGAAACGCAGACCATCAGACCAAATTGGTCTGATAACGAGGGCCCTGCCTAGGCCTCGTTGTTCATTCAGACGTTGTAATCACTTCCGCATTATTGAGTTCTGCGCACTCTTTCCTTTCACAACTTATAACAGGCAGCCTGACTTGGAGCAATGAAACCAAGCTGGTTTCGCCGGGCCGCTCTGACACAAACGGCCACTGTTGGCAAGCTTCCTGGGGGTTATCCCATTTCCAAACCTCACTCCCGCCACTCGCCGTCGTCTTCCAACCAAAAGACACCACCGGACAGCTACGGAAAGTATACCGTACCGAACCCCCCTGTGCCTGGGCAGGTCAGGCACAATTATGCTCCCTGGTGTTCCAAGCCTGCGGAGGTTCGGGTTCCTGTGACATGATGAGCCTGTCGAACCTGTACACACCCACACCTCCAAGTTCTCTCCCCCAGTTGACCAACCTAGAGAACTCCGAGCACAGACCATGAAGTCTAGTTCCAGTCTTCATTTTTACGAGTCCTAGACCAGATGATCTTGCAGGAACGTATGTCATCATTCCATCAGGAGCCTCGCCACTCTTTATTATCGATGATATCAGAGCGTTTGATGGTTTGGAAGACCCAAACTGGAAGATAAGAACCATTGTATCAGCTTCTGCCAATTTTGGCCATGGCGTTTTCCCAGTCTGAAGCACGATGCTGTTTGCCTCGTCGAAATGGTGGAATCCCATGCTAGTTTACTCACCTCTCTGGTCTTTCTAGTTAGACAAGCTATTTATTAGCCTTCTCTGTAGTTCTGGCATGTTCGCTGCCTCTTTACATCAACAACATACCCCATACATCAGCAGCAGCAGTCATGGTCGCTCCTTCGTCAGTCCTCAGTCTGAAAATGATTCGCAACGCGACATGGGCCAGGCAGAAGCAGGACGAGCCGTCGCCAACCCCGTCTGCTCGCCCGGAACGCATGCTGTACGCCTCTTTGCTACCCTTACTCTTGAGATGCCTCTAAGTTCTACCTCCAGTCATAGTTTCAAGACTCTGTGAACTTCCCCGCCTCTCTTACTGTGAACGCGCGTCGTGATCCCGGAATTTGTCCTGACGTTTGATCGCTCGTACCGCTTTCGACAATTCGCGTTCTGCTTCCCCGAACTTTTCCTGTGTGCTCTAAGTGCATGACCTGAAGTTTTGTGTTGTATTAGTCAGCGCGTACTGCAACCACAGAAATGACAGATTTTTGAGTCGACTCAGAAGCCACCAGATGGGACGTCTTATGTTGCATTCTGGTCGCCTGAACTCATTTGCCGTGCATAAGTCGGCAAGCTTAGAAGCTGAGTCATTGTGATCGGCATGTGCAAAGGCCCGTGTGAGCGCGTGTGTGCGTTCGAGCATTCGAGCATGCTTTTCGCCTACACACGCGCCACACCGCGGGTTTGTCACGGATGTGTGTGCTTCTTCATGCTGCTGCTCATGGTGTGATGGCACGATGGTATGATGGTCTGATGGCACAATGGTATGATGGGACGATGGTATGACGATATGATGGTATGGTGCGATGCTGTTGCTCTGCCATGCATCAGGGACATGTACGGGTTCGCGGTGCAGCCACAGTACGTGGACGTCTACAAGGCCTACGTTCCCGTCTACCATGTGAGTTGCCCCTGCGCTGTCCGTCTGTCCTCGTCTACAGAGCTGTGTCCCCATGCGGCGTAGGCATGCATCCCGTCATCCCTGTGCTTCTGTCCGTCGTCCCTCCCCTCCCGCTCCTCCCAAACTCCCACACCCACAGCACAACTTCCCGCACCCCTTATTCCACTCACCACTCGCCAGGACGAGGAGACAGAGTGGTCGGAGCAGTGGTACTCGTTCCTCCGCGCGCGCGACCTTCCCTTCCACACCGTCCTTGTGCTTGTGCCCATCATCCCCACCATCCCGCTCTTTCCCAACACCCTATACCCACCCTCACTTCCCCCCCCAACCCACCCCCCTCCTTCTCTCCCCCACCCCTTCTCTGCCGTTCCAGGACGAGGAGACAGAGCGGTCGGAGCGGTGGGACTCGTTCCTGGGCGCGCGCGACCTGCCCTTCCTTCCGCCCTCCCCTGCGCCGACGCCTGCGCCTGCAGCAGAAGCGCCCTCTGGCGAAGGCGCGGAAGAGGGGGGCGGAGAGGGGAGGTTCCGCGCAGTGTTTAGGGAGGAGCTGTGGGCCGTTGAGCGCGTTCTGAGGGGTGCTGCTGATGCACGCGCGGGGAACGCAGGGAGTTCGGGGGACGGGGGGAGGAGTGAAAGGGATTCTGGAGGAGAGAGGAGAGGAAAGCGAATAGGAGAGGGCAGCGGGGAGGGGAGCGGAGCAGGTAGTGGAGAGACGGGAGGAGAGGAGCTAGGAGGAGGAGGGGGAGAGGGAGAAGGAGGAGGAGGGGGAGGAGGCAAGGGAGGGGAAAGCGGAGCAGGCAAGGGAGTGGGTGGGAGTGTGGCGACAGAGGAGGCATGGAGAGCGGAGCTGACGTCCCTAGTGATGGGGGGCATTCCCATGAACATGCGGGGCGAGGTGTGGCAGATCTTTGTGGGGAGTGCAGGGAGGAGGCAGGCGGGCGTGTATGAGGCGCTGCTGAGGGATGCGGGCAGGGAGGAGGAGCACGGGCCCAACAGCAGCCTGGCGGAGATCACTGCGCGGATCCATGAGAGGGACGCTGAGGTTGCATGCACCGTGCAGATTGAAAAGGTGTGCTGTGCGGTTCGAGTAGGTGTGTGGTAGGGTTTGACTATGCCTGGCGGAGATCACTGCGCGGATCCATGAGAGGGACGCTGAGGTGGCTTGCACCGTGCAGATTGAAAAGGTGTGTGGGCCTGCTGTCTTGGTTGCCCCTCCTCTCACGGTCACACTGTGTGCTTTTTAAGTCTGCCATACACCCAGCCCCCCATACCACGACCCTCACCCTCTTAGGTTCTGCCTCCCACCTTCCTCAGCCACCCTGCTCTGAACACCAAGGGGCGAAAGCCTACTGCAGCGGCAACTCATAGTTCCTGTCTTGCTTCTCCTCCACAAACCCCCTTTCGACCCACACCAATCTTCCCACCCCCACCAATCTTCCCACCCCCACCATCCTTAATCCCCACAGGACCTGCCTCGCACGTTCCCCGGGCACCCTGCGCTGGACACCAAGGGGTTGGACACTCGGAGGCTGTTGCTAGAATCCCCTTTGCCCTCCATTCCACTTCCTAATTCTCCACCCTCCCCCTGCCCCTTTCCCTACTGTAGGACCTGCCGCGCACCTTCCCCGGGCACCCTGCGCTGGACGCCAAGGGGCGGGACGCGCTGAGGCGGCTGCTGGTGGCGTATTCGCGGCGCAACCGCGCTCTGGGGTACTGCCAGGGCATGAACTTCCTCGCCGGGCTGCTGCTGCTGCTCATGCCTGAAGAGAACGCTTTCTGGTGAGGCTGGGTGGGGTGTAGAGGTGTGTGAGGTGAGGAGGTGTGGAGGCGCAACCGCGCTCTGGGGTACTGGCAGGGGATGAACTTCCTGGCGGGGCTGCTGCTGCTGCTCATGCCTGAAGAGAACGCTTTCTGGTGGGTGGCTTTGGTAGGGGTAGAGTGGCAATTCCGGTAAGCATGCAGTGGGTTTGAAACACGCTCCCTGATTGGCCTAACTATCCTGATTTCAGCTTTATGTGCAGTCCTTGTGTATCAGCATTGCATCCCACTGTAGAGAGGGTGTTTTTGAGACGTCTCAAAAACACCCTCTCTACACGTGGCCATCCCACTGCTCAGCTTCAACTGTGCCCCACCTCTACTCCCCATAACTGCCATGCTTATTATGCCACCCTCCACCCCCTCCCTCCTCTCTCCTCCTTTCCCCCCCTCCCCCGCTCATCCCCATGTGTCTCAGGACGCTGACGGCGATAGTGGACGAGTTGTTTCGAGGGTACTACTCCGATGAGATGGTTGAAGCTCAGGTGGGATGGGGGGTGGGTGGTGGTGGGATGGCGGGCAGGTGGGATAGGATGGAATGGTGGATACGCACAGGTGTGTGCAGGGTGGGTGGAAAGTGGGGCCTGGGCTGAGCAAAAATGGTAGAGCCGGTCAAAGGGCAGTTCTTATCAACGGGCACCTCTGGAGTCCGGACGCTGTTGCTGATGCTGTTGGTAGGCATACGTGATGTTCCTGGTATTCCTCCGTACGGGCACCAGCCGTGACACCCTGTCTGTCCCGTTCGCTGCCCCACATTCCTCTTTGACCATGTTCGTCCTCGTCTGTGCGTACGTCCTGCTCTGTCTGTTCACATTTCCTCGTCTCCCCACCCGGTGGACCAACCAGCTGGTCTTTGAGGACCTTGTCCGCCAAAACTGACTTCCCAAGAGACGTCACAAAACTAGAGTCCTATTGGCCATGTGTTATCCCCGTCTGTGCTCACAGTCCCGCCCTGCTTCTCTTCCCACCAGGTGGACCAGCTGGTCTTTGAGGACCTTGTCCGCCAAAACTTACTTCCCAAGAGACGTCACAAAACTAGAGTCCTATTGGCCATGTGTTATCCACGTCTGTGCTCACAGTCCCGCCCTGCTTCTCTTCCCACCAGGTGGACCAGCTGGTCTTTGAGGACCTTGTTCGCCAAAACTTCCCCAGACTCGGTGAGTGGTGTGGTGCCAGCCTGGCAGGGCAGTTATCAACACTTGGCCCAGATAAATTAAAGTGCATATATCTTTCTGTTACGAGGGCCGTCTCGCGTTTTAGTCATTATCAACGTGCTCATGGCCTCAGGATCCAAGTTCATATTGGGAGTAGCAGCAAACCTGAAGATATCGCTTAAGCAAAAGGATCAAGACTAGTAAAACTTGTTCCTAGAAATTCAAGAAAATCTCAAAGCCTCCAAACTCGAAAAACCCTCATTATCAACGTGCTCATGGCCTCCACGTGTTCGCATCCCTACCATCATTCCCTGTGTCTGTTGAGGATGTTATGTTCTCAAGTGATACTTCCTCTCATTTCACACACTCTCATTCCTCGCACGCATCCTCCCGCAGCGGAGCACATGGATACAATGGGGGTGCAGATCTCATGGATCACGAGGCCATGGTTCCTCTTAGTCGTTCTCAACGCCCTGCTTGCACATTCACCCACCCATTCCACCCTCGCACCCACGCATACGACACTCTCTGCCCACCCCCGTGCAGCGGAGCACATGGATACAATGGGAGTGCAGATCTCATGGATCACAGGGCCATGGTTCCTCTCTGTCTTTGTCAACGTGCTGCCCTGGGAGAGTGGTGAGAGCAATGCTTTGTCTTCTGGCTCTTCGTTCGCTCGCCCTACCTGCTCCTCTATTGCGTCCTTCTATCTGCAATGCTGGGCACGTGAGACGTCTAGCTGTACAATCAACCACAAATGAGTCCAGCTTCGAACTTCAAAGTCCCCCTCTGCCTTTCCCCTTCCCTTTCTCCTCTGCTTCCATCCCTTTCCCCCTCTGCTTCCATCCCTTTCCCCCTCTGCTTCCATCCCTTTCCCCCTCTGCTTCCTTCCCTCATCGGCAGTACCCCTCTCCTGCCCTGTAGTGCTGCGAGTGTGGGACGTCATTCTGTACGAGCGCAATCGAGGAGTCTCGTTTCGTAATCCCCGTCTGCTTCCATCCCTTCCCTTCCCCCCTCTGCTTCCTCGCCTCTTGCTGCAGTGCTGCGAGTGTGGAACGTCATTCTCTACGAGCGCAATCGCAGCATGCTCTTCCTTATCCCTTCTGCTTCCCCTTTCCCCCTCTGCTTCCCTTCCCCTTCCTCCCTTTGCTTCCTTCCCTCATCTGCCCCACAGTGCTGCGGGTGTGGGACGTCATCCTCTACGAGCGCAATCGCAGCATGCTCTTCCGCACATGCCTCGCTCTCCTCGACATGCACTGTATGTGATGTGATGTGTTGTACTGTGCTGTGCTGTCGGGGTGCGCTGTTCGTGATGCTGTGCTGTGCTGTGCTGTGCCGTCCGGTGCGGTGTTGGGTGCGGTGCTCTGCTATGCTGTGCTGTGCTATGTACATGGCGCACTGTACATGTCTTCCATTTCCCTTTCCCTTTCCTTCCCCGTCATGCCACTAACACTACTCCATGCCTTCCTCTCATGCTCTCCTTTCCGTTCCCCCCCAGCCACGCTGCTGCTTTCGATGCAGGAGACGGGGGACATGATGTCAGCCCTACAGTCCATGGCAGCATCCACCTTCGACAGCACGCAGCTCGTGCTGTCTGCGTGTGTGGGCTACATGGACGTCAACGAAGCCATGCTCGAGGTACGTGCCTTATGTGGCTCGTGTTTGTGCTGCTGCTGTTGCCACAGCTCGTGCTGTCTGCGTGTGTGGGCTACATGGACGTCAACGAAGCCATGCTCGAGGTACGTGCCTTATGTGGCTCGTGTTTGTGCTGCTGCTGTTGCCACAGCTCGTGCTGTCTGCGTGTGTGGGCTACATGGACGTCAACGAGGCCATGCTCGAGGTATGTGCCTTATGTGGCAGCTGCTGCTCGTAGTGCTACTCGTGCATGCAGCACCTTCGACAGCACGCAGCTCGTGCTCTCCGCTTGTGTGGGATACATGGACGTTAACGAAGCCATGCTGGAGGTGAGATGTGTGAGCGTGAGTGCTGCTGCTGTTGCTCCTAGTGCTGCTTGTGCTGGTGCTACTCGTGCATGCAGCACCTTCGACAGCACGCAGCTCGTGCTCTCTGCGTGTGTGGGATACATGGACGTCAATGAAGCCATGCTGGAGGTGAGGCGTGCTGCTGTTGCTGCTGCTGCGCATGCTGCTGCTCGTCATCCTACAGCTCGTGCTGCCTGCGTGTGTCGCCAGGAGGTGCTCAAGCGCTGCCGCAGCGCCCGCACTGCCAGTAAACATCTCTCATTCTTCCTTCCCCCCAGGATCTGCGCACAAAGCACCGGCCCACCATAATGCACCGGGTGGACGAGCGCAGGGAGGAGCTCAAGTGCTGCCTTGGAGGCAAGTATGCCTTCTATCTCATTCCCGTTCCCCTTCCCTCCTCCCCAGGACCTGCGCACGAAGCACCGGCCAACCATAATGCACCGCGTGGACGAGCGCAGGGAGGTGCTCAAGCGCTGCCGCAACACACGCACCGCCAAGATCCACGCGGAGGCCCTGGCCGTTCTGCAGAGGCTCGCACCGCACAGCACCGCGCTCGGCTCCCCTCTCGGCCCGTCCTCCTCCCACGCCTCCCCGCTGTCTATCCCTTCATCGTTTGACGACTCAGTGCTGCCCTCCCCCTCGCCTGCTGCTAGAATGGGGCGATTGCGGGCCTTTGGGGATGAAGGGGAGAGGAGAAAGGAGAAGAGGGAGAAGAAGGGGAGGAAGGAGGGAAGAGCAGGAGGCAAGGAGGAAGGGAGAAGGGCAGGGGGAGGCGCAGGGGGGAGGGTAAGCAGTGCTGGTACTGAGAGTGCTACTAACGAGAACGGAGATGGTGACACTAGTGGTGGGGATTTGGGGCCAAGAGGAGACGTGTCCCCATCCTCCTCTGCCTTCTCCTCCCCATCCTTCACTCCTCCAGACTCCCCCCTTGCAAGCTTCAAGCTGTCCAATAACCGTCCCCCACCCGTCTCCTTCCCCCCACACACTCTCCTGCATCCCCTCCCTCCTCCCCTCCCTCTCACTCGCTCCTCCTCCCTCTCTCGCCTCTCCCCACCTGCTGCTCCCTCTTTCCTCATCTGCCCTGTGCAACCGCTGCAGTTCCCCTCACACGCCCCTGCCTACCCTAACGAAACAACTGCAGCTGGTACCGAACCTGGCGCCGAACCGGCAGCATCCGGTTCGGCAGAGACCTGGACTCAGCTGGTCCTCCCAGCCTCGGTGGTCGAGGCTCTTGATTCAATGCTGGGAGTAGGAGAGACGGAGGTGGGGAGAGAGAGGGGGAGGGACAGGGGAAGGGAGAGTGAAGGGACAGCAGCAGATGGTGAGAGAGACACTGAAATGGACCCGTGGGGTAGTGCCAGGTGGCAGGAGCTCACTGGTCCGCCTCGCCCACATGGTCATGCTCATGGGTCGGTTTCAGCATCAGCGTCAAAAGCTGCAGTGAGGCGAGCCGGAGGAGGAGCAGGGAGAGGGGTGGGTGAGTCTGTGGGAGGTGGGACGGCAGCGGCTGTTGCTGCAGCAGCACTGGCGTCGATGTCAGAAGGGAGAGAGACGGATGGAAGAAACGCGTCTGTGTCTTCCACTGCTGCTGCTGCAGCTGCTGCTGCAGCTGCTGCTGCAGCTGCTGCTGCTGCAGCTGCTGCTGCTGCTTCTGCTACTGCTGGTACCTCTGAAACGGCTGCCAGCAGTTACCAGCAGCGGATGAAGCGGTCTCCTGAGCTGCTGCTGCGAAGCGGGTCCTTTGCCCCTGGCAGCAGCAGCAGCAGCCGCATGAACCCGGTTCCATCCCTTGCGCTGGATGCGAGAGATGAGAGCTCGAATGCTGCCGCCACCGCCCCTGCAGATTCTGCTGAAGCTCCCACCACCACTGCTGCTAGTGTCGCTGCTGCTGTCAGTGCTGTGAGTGCAAGCAGCTCTGCCACCACACGCAGCAAGAGCAAGAGCAAGAGTAAGAGTAAGGGGTCGTCCCAGATAGAGTCAGATCTCTCCCCCACCTTCTCGCCCCCCTCCTCCCCCTCCTCCCCCCCTTCATCCGACTTCTCCCCCCCGTCCCCCGGTTCTCCCTCAGTTGCTTTGGAGGGGGATGGGTTGTTTCAGGACGGTGAGGGTACAGGGAAGGAGAAAGGGAGGAGGGATGAGAGGAGTGGTGGGAAGGACAAGGGAGAGAAGGAGCGGGAGGGCAAGAGGGAGAAGGTGCGGGAGAAGAGGCGAGAGGGGGAGGGGAGCAGGAAGGAGAAGGGGAGAGCGAAGGAGGAAATGGGTGGTGATTTGAAGGGAGGTCGCGGTGCTGGCGGTTTGGCGTCAGACTCGTTACAGTCACATTTCCGACAGTCACATTCACTTTCTGGGCATCAGCCCAGTGCAGGGAGGGGCGCGGATAATAGCAGTAACGGGGCGAGCAGTAAGGGGGATGTCAGGGAGTGGAGAGCAGCGGGAGGGAGAGGCAGGGGCATTCGGACACACAGTTTAAACGAAAGACGTAGCCCTGGGCTGGGAATTGGCGTGGGCATGGGTGTGGGTGGTGGGGGGGAGGGGTACCCCCCTCCGCACCACCATACGGACAGGGCAGGCCATGCTGCTCCAATTCGGGAGTCCAGAAGTGTTGCTGCTTCTCACAGTGGCTCTGGTGCTGGCGCGGGTGCTGGTGGCAATGCTGGTGTTGGTGGTGGTGGCAGCGGTGGTGGAGACGCAAGGGTGCATGGGAGGATAGGCAGGACGAGCAGTGCGGATGTGTGGAGAGTGGCAGAGAGGGGTGCTGGTGGTGGTGGGAGAGGAGGAGGGGGTGGAGAGGAGCAGGAGGAACGGAGGGATGGGGAGGGGTTGGGAGGGGTGGAGGGGGGGAAGGGGGGTGCGGAGAGCAGAGGAGGGCGGCATGTGCGGGTTGAAGTGGCGACGGAGTTGCAAGCACAGGTGAGTGGTTGTGAGAAAGCTGAAGAAAAAACACTCCCATTTCACTTCCGTTGTAGCACAGTTGTGCTGCACTGCACCTGTCCTTGAATCGTTCCTGCTTGTGACTCTTCCCCACCCTCCCACCTTCAAGGTGGCGTGGCTGAAGGAGCAGCTGGTGTTTGCACTGGAGGCAAGAGATGAAGCCGTCCTCAGGTGCTCCTCACATGTGCTCCAACACTCTTCTAATCGTCCCTGCTCGTGACTGCTCCTCCACCCTCCCCACCCTCCCACCTTCAAGGTAGCGTGGCTGAAGGAGCAGCTGGTGTTTGCACTGGAGGCAAGAGATGAAGCCGTCCTCATGTGCTCCTCACATGTGCTCCAACACTCTTCTAATCGTCCCTGCTCGTGACTGCTCCTCCACCCTCCCCACCCTCCCACCTTCAAGGTAGCGTGGCTGAAGGAGCAGCTGGTGTTTGCACTGGAGGCAAGAGATGAAGCCGTCCTCAGGTGCTCCTCACATGTGCTCCAACACTCTTCTAATCGTCCCTGCTCGTGACTGCTCCTCCACCCTCCCCACCCTCCCACCTTCAAGGAAGCGTGGCTGAAGGAGCAGCTGGTGTTTGCACTGGAGGCAAGAGATGAAGCCATCCTCAGGTGCTCCTCATTGGTGCTCCTCAGTGGTGCTGCAACACTCTTCAACTCGTCCCTGCTCGTGACTGCTGCACCCCCACCCCCGTCAACCCACCCACCCACCCTCCCACTTACCAGGTGGCGTGGCTGAAGGAGCAGCTGGTGTTTGCATTGGAGGCGAGAGATGAAGCCATTCTCAGGTGAGGCCGTTTGGAGGTGAGGCACTTTCATACCCAAAGCCTCCGTGTGTCCTCTTTTCACCTAGCATGTCTCATGCTCCACGTGTACATGTCTCATGCTCCACGTGCACATGTCTCATGCTCCACGTGTACATGTCTCATGCTCCACGTGTACATGTCTCATGCTCCACGTGCACATGTCTCATGCTCCACGTGCACATGTCTCATGCTCCACGTGCACATGTCTCAAGTGGCCAGGTCATCCCATGCGCACCCCCCGTCATCCCATGCGCACCCCCCGTCATCCCATGCGCACCCCCCGACATCCCATACACTGTTCTTCTGAACCATGAGACGTTGTTCATTCTGACGCATACCCCATTCTGCCATGTGCACACCCCATCGCCACATCCATGCCATGCCATGCCATGCCATCCCATGCCATGCCATGCCATGTATGCAGAGCCGAGGCACTACAGGCAGCCATGGTGGAGATGGGGCAGTCCACCACCAACCAGGCCCTCTCTGCTAAGGTAAGCTTTGAGACGACTCAAAGCCCGCGTGTACGTAGACAACTTTTGAGACGTCGAAAAGTCATGCAGGGCGGAGGCACTGCAGGCAGCCATGGTGGAGATGGGGCAGTCCACCACCAACCAGGCTCTCGCTGCTAAGGTAGCCCCCAACCCAACCCCCCCTTTACAAGTCATCGTTGTTAAAGTAGCATTTACGCCCAAATGAGACCCATAACACCACGAAGTAGCCCCCAAACGGAAGCATGTGCTGCACGTGCTCTTTCTGATCTTTATAGCCCTTGTTCTCCTCCCCATGCCCATGTAGGGATGCAGAGGAGGGAGATGGCGCAGGGACGGTGGGGCTTCTATTGATTTTGTCCCTCTTCCCCCACCCTCGCTTCCCCCATCCCCTCGTTCCCCAACCCCTCTTTCCCCAACCCCACTTCCCTCACGCCCCCTTTCCCCATCCCCCCTCCCTCCACCCCCTTTTCCCGCACGCCCTCTTCTCCCCCATCAGATTGATCAGCTGGAGAATGCACTGATTGTCGCCAGAAGGCAAATTGACACACACAGGAGGGAGATAGCGCAGCAGCAGCGGGCCATGGAGGCACAGCAGGAGGCGTCCACTCGCTTGCTGCTGGAACAAAAAGAGGAAGCAGCACGGGCACTTGGGGAGGCGGTGAGGAGCAAGGATGCGGAGATGGAGAGGGAGGTGGGGGCGCTGCTGGGCGCGCTGATATATGCTGCCTCTCTTCCCTCACTCCCCTTCCTCTTCCCTTCAGATTGATGAGCTGGAGAATGCACTGATTGTCGCCCGTAAGCAGATAGAGGCGCACAGGAGGGAGATCGCGCAGCAGCAGCGGGCAATGGAGGCACAGCAGGAGACGTCCACGCGCTTGCTGCTGGAGCAGCAGGAGGAGGCGGCACGGGCACTGGGGGAGGCGGTGAGGAGCAAGGACGCGGAGATGGAGAGTGAGGTGAGAGCGCTACTGGGGGCACCTTCATATACGCATTGCCTCTATTTTCCTTCTCCCCTCCTTCGCTCCCCCACTCCCCTCAGATTGACGAGCTGGAGAATGCACTGATTGTGGCTCGGAAACAGATAGAGGCGCACAGGAGGGAGATCGCGCAGCAGCAAAGGGCAATGGAGGCCCAACAGGAGGCGTCTACACGTTTGCTTCTGGAACAACAAGAGGAAGCAGCGCGAGCACTGATGGAGGCAGTGAGGGTGAAGGATGCGGAGATGGAGAGGGAGGTGGGGGCGCTGCTGGGCGCGCTGAGGGGCAAGGAGGAGCGCATGCGGGGCGAGATTGAGGAGTTGCAGGACAAGGTGGAGGAGAGAGACGCGGAGATTGGGCGGCTTGCCAGGGTGAGTGGGTGGGTGATGGGTCGTAAGGCTATGAGATGGTATTGCAGGCAAGGAGGAGCGCATGAGAGGGGAGATTGAGGAGTTGCAGGACAAGGTGGAGGAGAGGGATGCGGAGATTGGGCGGCTTGCTAGGGTGCGTGGGTGGGCGGTGGTTTGTAAGTCTATGAGCAAGGAGGTTGTTGCAGGCAAGGAGGAGCGCATGCGGGGCGAGATTGAGGAGTTGCAGGACAAGGTGGAGGAGAGAGATGCGGAAATAGGGCGGCTTGCTAGGGTGAGTGGTTGTTTCTGAGGCGCCATTCCCTCCGTCTCGTATCTCCCTCCTCTTCCCCTCCCCCACTACTTCTGGGGCGCCTTAACGATGTTCCTTTCACCCTCACACTTTTCAACCAGAGGCTGGAGCAAGCAGTAAAGGACATGGAGAACATAATCGCAACCAACTCACACCAAGCCCCTCTATATCACTCAACCAACTCACACCAAGCCCCTCTATATCACTCAATTCCCCCCCCCTTCCCCCTCTCACCACGTGGATGGAGCAGAGGTTGGAGCGGGCAGCCAAGGATATGGAGGACATTATAGCGGCCAACGCGCAGCAGGTGGAGACTCAGAAGAACGTCATTGAGATGCTCGCGGTACGTTGTGGGAGTGTGGAGTGGTGGAGTGCGGTGCTGTCCGGAGCGGTGCTGTGCTCTGTCGTGTGGTTCGGTCCGGTGTGGCGATGATTTTTTCGGATGCTGTAATACTCGTGTTTGGTCATGGGGTGAGCCATGATGTGTGGTGCAGAGCGGTACGTTATGGTGCTGCGTGTGATACAGTGGCAGGGGAGCAGTCGAGCCGCGAGGTGCAAGGTAACAGCCATGCCGCAGAGGGCACTGGCAGGGCAGAGGGCGCTGGCAGGGCAGAGGGCGCTGGCAGGGCAGAGGGCGCTGGCAGCATTTTCTTGCACTTCAAATTCCGGCTGTTGTCTTGCGAACTCGTTTAGGTGCCTCATCAATCGTCTACTCCTCCCTCCCTGTCCATGGCGCACAGGAGAGCAGTCGCGACGCAAGGCAGAGGCTGGCAGCCGTTGGGCAGGGGTATGAAAAAGTGTTTTGAGACGTCCCAAAACACTTCTTCAGGCAGAGGCTGGCAGCCGTTGAGCAGGGGGCACTGGCAGCACTGGCTGGCAGGCAACTCAGAGGTGATCTCATCTCTCTCAAATCTCTCAAGGCACCTCATTGGTGTTTTCCCCTTCCCCGCCAGTGGCATGCAGGACAGCAGTCGAGACGCGGGGCAGAAGCTGGCTGGCAGCCATGGAGGAGAGGGCGCTTGCAGCATTGCTCAGGCAAATCGGAGGTGGTCTCATCTCATCTCTCTCGAATCTGTCAAGGCACCTCATTAGTGGTCTCCTCCCTTCCTTTGTCTCGCACAGGAGAGCAGTCGGGACGCGAGGCAGAAGCTGGCAGCCATGGAAGAGAGGGCGGTGGCGGCAGAGAGGTCAGTCAGTGGGGCACGTAGGGATGATGTAGACTTTCAAATGGGTGAGATGATGCAAACTATGAGGGAACTCAATCACCACTGGGCATGCAGTGCTGTTGCAAGCGGAGAGGTGGACTCCAATGTGCGAGGCAGAAGCTGGCAGGCATGGAGGAGAGGGCGGTGGCAGCAGAGAGGTCAGTGAGTTAGTCAGCAGAACCCGGGCATGCAGATGTCCCAAATGAATGACATGAGATGACTTGTGAGGCGACTTTTGAGTCGACTCAAAAGGTGACTTTTGAGTTTTGAGTCGACTCATTAGTCAGCAGAACCTGGGCATGCAGATGTCCCAAATGAGTGAGATGAGATGACTTGTGAGGCGCGTTAAAGAAACCGTTCGCTGTGACGAGCTGGTGCAGATTTGCAAGGATAACGTTTTTGAGGCGCCTCATTAGTTGTTGCGTGCGCTGTGCGGAGGCACATCCCCAATCAGGAGGCTTTTGAGTCGACTCAAGAATCACCTTGTTGCATGCGCGGAGCCAGGTTACAAATCCAAATAGGAAATGGGTGCGATCACTTTCCCTCTTGCACTGCACCAAGCACCTTCCTCCTCCACTGCAGCACTCTTCCTGCGCTCCCCAACCTGCGTGGTCTCGCCACCCTGCCTGCTCTCCTCTCCATAATTGGCCTGCTCCTTCCCTCTCATGCTCATTTCCCAACTTCTCTCCATGCCGCAGAATGGTGGAAACCTTCATGGAAGCTTCCTCCCTGGAGGAGGTCCAATCGATGGTGGATGACATGCCAGCTGTCTCTCCCGGATCTCTTGACACGTCACCTTCTGTCTTCGCTGACGTCAGCATGAGAAGCTGCCAGACCAGCGTGACTAGCAGCAGTGTTGCCACGTCAGACGCTGAGCTGGAGAGAATGACAGCGGCGGCACTTGCGATTGGGAGCGGTAACAGAGGTAACACGAGGCAATACATTGGTAACCACCACCCTTCATCGTCGAATTATTTAATCGCACAGGGAGACTCGCACCAATCGGTGCAGCAGCAGGAGCAGCAGTACGGGAATCATCGGCCACGCACCGCTCCCGTTAATCGCCAACCGATAGCAGTCAGATCGCTTTTTGAAGGAATATCGGGAGCGTTCAGTTCTAGAATGGGGGGAGCTGTGCCAGGTGCAACATCCCTACCAAGGACTCAACCCTGACGAAAAGACTGGAACTGTGCAAGCAATGTGGAAGTATTTATGAGATGTTACAATTTTCGATTTTGCCTTCAACCTCCCTAATTTTTGTGGACTACGGTTCGGAACTTCAGTCTTATCACAATAACGCGGAAGCTCCTCACGAGCCCCCGACTCCGTGTGCACTGAATTTGTTCTGCGCCGATTTGTTGCGCCTGATTCACATTCAGCGCTTTCACTTTCCCCCGACGCCCCATTCACCGCCAGCCAGGGCCCAAAATATCAGGGTAAAACGCCCTGATTACCCTGGGGGTCGGCCGTTTTTTCAGGATTACCCTGCCAAAATCAGGAATGCGAATTAGTTGCCCTTCTCTTAAAAGAACATGTTTTTTTTTAACCCTGACTGGTTTTAAGGTTAGGCTGACGGAATCAGGGTGTGGTGTACACTACCCTTTTACCGAAACCAGGCCCCAAAATGTCAGGGTAAAATACCCTGATTGCCCTGACTGGCGGCCGCTTTTTTCGGGGTTACCCTGACCCAGTCAGGCTCCCGGATTTCTTACCCTGACTCATAAAGAGTTTGATTTTTTGTACCCTTATGAATTCCGAGCTATAGATTGTTTCCCCTGACTTTCATCAGTGTTTTAATCCTGTTACACTGATACCGAGTCTTTCGTAGCGAGGATATAGTGGATGTTGCGCAAAATGGCACCAGCAAGTAGTGCACTACGCTTACTTCCCAATGCGAGCATTGAACCTGCGACCTTTGCTCTCAACTTCGCCTCTGACCGAGTGAAACACTTCAACTTGCAATGTTCTTTTTCGTTATAAATATGGACTCTTACACGGAATCAGAGTACGAAATTTTTTTACCCTGTTTTCATCAGGGTACGAAATTTTTTACCCTAGGAGTCAGGGTTGGCCCACCCTGGAACTCTGATTTGACAGGGTGGGCCAAAACCAATTTTGGGCCCTGACCGAAACTTTTCTAACGCGAATCAGACCACAGTCCGCTTTGTGACAAAATGTACCACACCCCCACAAACACCGGTTGTCGCTTGTGCCCACGCGCAAAACAATGCCTCGCTGTCGGCAACGCGTCATGTTGCTTCTTTTGTTGTTTCTCTCGAATCTTGCCACCCGTCGCCACGCCCACCGCCAACACAGCAGAATTTGCTGTCAAGGACAGCTTGAAGCTGTCCTTGACAACAGAATGCAGCAGCAGTCCTGCCGTGCTGGCCATACACTTCCCGCCTCGTGGAAGAAACAGCCCTTGAGAGGCAGCCAGGGGGTCGTTCTCTTCGAGGGGGTCTCTCGCTTGGCCCTCATTCTCAACCATGCTCCAACTTTCACCTCAACAATGCCCACTGGAGAGCCCGATCCACCTGATGGCGCGAGAAACGGCCTCTCTGTGCTGGGCGTTTCACCACGCCTTAGCGAGAACTACGCCGTGCCCATCGCTCAGCCGCCGCCTCGTGAGCCGTCACCTGAATGTGTGGTAGGAACGGTTTATCCGTTCGAGCCGCCAGACTCACCCACGGCGTGGGAGCCACATCCTGACATATATTTGGTTCCCGGAGGAGGCGAGGGCTCGTCAAAGCCGCCAACTGCTTCGCCTTCGACGGTCAGCACCGCGCCCGTCAAGCGACCGCGTGTGGGAGTTACGTACAAGCAGCAGACGCTGTGGGGCGCCCCTCCTCCGAAAAACGCTACTTCACACAAGCGCCCTGCTCCTTCGGCCGACCCGACGCCACCCACCGCTCTGGCGGATGCTGAGTATGAGTCGGTGAAGAAGACGTTTGAGGGTCAGTGGGCAGGTAGCTTCAAGTGGTTACGTTTGCTCCGCATGTCTAACGGCTGTCCGTCTTTGAAGTGTGCGATTTGTGTAAAGCATGGAGATCCACTGGCGCACACCGCGTACGGGGCGAAGGGCGAAGGTGCTCGGGACCTCCAGATCGGCAGCATCCGCGCTCACACCTCCTCCCGTGCACACAAGGAGTCGTTGGAGAATCAGGAGAAGGCGGAAGCGGAGAAGGCGAAGCAGGCCTCAATCACACGATGGCAGGCTACAGACGCTTCCACACGGCACATCATTCGGCTCCTCCACATCGCGCACTTTGTCTGTAAGGCCGATGCACCCATAGCGATGTTCGTCCCGCTGTGTTGGTTTCTGGCGAAGGAGGGGTTACCAGACCTGCCTCCCGCTGGCGGCTACGGCGCGTACTACACAGAGTAAGTGGCTGCTTGATTTGGTGTTTCTGCTGTGTTCTATATTATCCACTGTGGTATTTAACCACCTATGTTGTCCCCTGGCAGTTACGGCTTCAAAGAGAACCTGCGTGCCCTCTCAACATACCTTCAAGAGACACAGCGCCAGCACCTGCTCGAATCCCCGTGGATAGGGATTCAACTCGACGAGAGCACGGACCGTGTGAATGGGAAACACCTCATTCTATACGCCACGTTCTTCCAGCGCACCACTGTGGTTACAGAGTTCTTGACTCTGATTACTGTTGACCGTTGTGACGGTGCCTCACTCACATCCACTGTTGTGCAGTATCTGACAGGTATCGGGCTGGATCTCCAGAAGATATCCAGCGTCGCATCCGATGGTGCCAGCGTCATGGTCGGCAAGAACCGAGGAGTCGTGACACGTCTTCGCATGCGCATTCCGCATCTGGCTTCAACACACTGTATCGCGCATCGGCAAGCATCACCGTTGTGTGCTCCGTGCTGCTCGCTTACCAAGTGCTGACGCTGACTAACAATATGTCGTGTTTCCTCTATGTACAGGGAGGCACTCGCTGCCAGTGATGCTGCAGAAGAGATACCTGACCTGCTAATGATCGACGACGTCGTGCGCGCCTTCGCTGACCACATCGGCCGCAGCAGCGTAGACTACGCGAAGTTTCAAGAGATGCAGCGGATTTTCTGCCAGACGAATCTCGAGGCGCAGGGGATTAGCGACACACGATGGCTCGCCCGCGGTGAAGCGGTACAGCGCCTGCTAGACGTGCTCCCTGCGGCCATTGTGGTGATGAAGGATTACAAGGCGGATCTGTATGAGGTGGTGACCTCGTTCAAGTTCCACTGGCTCATCCGCTTTCTTGCGAATGTGCTTTGGGAACTGAACAGCCTTAACCTGCGATTCCAGCAGCGCCAGGTAAGCGTCTTTGTTGCTGGCGTCTTTGTTGTCGCTTGCAAGCAGGTGTACTAACTAACTCGCTGCGATCCCCATGTGCAGGTGGACGTCACCCTTGTTGCGCACATCGTGCAGCAGACAAGGATGCGTTTGAAGACGCGGTATTCCCTCCGCGACCCTGCACACCATTTCGGCAGCGGCGAGAAAATGCAGCTTCCCGAGTTCATTCAGAGGCACGGGGCAAAGGAAAAGCGCGAAATGAAGGCGGAAGGCGTAGACGGGGAAGGGAATCCCGTCACGTTTGAGTTCACGCTGCACGAGCGCCCGCTGCCTGGACACGAGACGGAAGGCGATGTCACGGCGTGCGTCGAGCTGTCGATCAAGTACGTGCGCGCCATTGACAAGGAGCTGGAGTGGCGGATGCGCGACCTGGAGCTCCTGGAAGGCTCGAAGCTGTTTCGCACAGCCTCGTACGCGTCCGACGACACGAAGCGACTGGAAACCTTCAAGAAGTGGCTCGGCCAACTGCACAAGTTATACCACCACAAGCTGCCTAGTAAGCCTTCTGTAGCGCTTGCACATGTTATGATGTTTGTTGTCACTTTCATGCCTGACATGAGGTTAACCATTGCACATCCTGCATACTGTGGCCTGTTGGACTAATGCCCCCCACCCCTACCCGTGTCTGCAAGCATCGGCTTAGCTTTCACCCGCACTCCGCCCCACCACAGGGTTCGACTACAAGAGAGCCCAGCAGGAGCTGTGGATGTTTACATCCACAATGTTCGCCCAGCACAACAACGAGGAATTCCATCAGGCGCTGACGAACATGCTGCGGGATGATGCATGGCGTGTCTCCTTCCCCAACATCATGCGGATGTGGCAGTCAGTGGCCGTGCTGCCATTGAGCACGGTTGAATGCGAGCGTGGCTTCTCGAAGCAGAATCTGATCAAGACGTGGGGCCGTGGCAGCCTTGGCATCTGATACGTTGCTCCCTGCTGCGGTACGATGTCGACTGGTTTGAGGTGGTCGCTATCTTTCGTGGAGAGAGGCTGAGGCGATCCACCAGGGAGTTCGACCCCACCAGAGCTTCACAGACTCAGTTTGTAGAAGATGTAGGCAGTGGGGGTGGCACTGAGTAGGTGTGTAGTTCATGTGTGACTTTTGTAGAGTGAATGGACTTTGGGTGTATTACTTTATTTCTGATTTTATTAAAACCGTAGCTCACAAAACTGTAACCAAAACAGAATTGGCCCGAAAATACCCTGCTCAAATCAGCCTAGTGCCAGAGTTACCCTGCTGAAATCAGGCTACGGAAAATTCTACCCTAGGGGTCTGTTCTAGGAGGGGCTGGTACCCTGATTTGTAAGAGTAGGCCTAAACCAATTTTGGGCCCTGCCGCCAGCTTTCGCTGAATCTGGACCACCCTCGCAGGCTGCTGTACAAGAGTTTCGCTTGTTACCACTTTGAATATCGCATACGCAGGCTGTTGTACACACACAAAAATTCGCCTGCGCGAAGATCGTGGAGACACTGCTTGCAGAAGGGGGGAAATTCAATTTCAGAAGGGTTGAGCTAGGCCCCACGTTTTCACGTTCTATCCGAGAAGAAAGGAATTCGGAGTTGCAGATTCTCGAGAGCCGGTCTATTGGGGAGATCCTCCTTCACCTTGTTCGCACGCGCGCAGGACCTCTCTCGTCACTCTCACTCTACGTCTGCGCGCCACCACCGCCGCCGCCCCGGCAATCGCTGCCATGGGCTTCTCAATCTGCGCCCGTCGCGTCGCTCTCTGCTGCCTCTTTCTCGTCGTCGCCGCGCCGTGTCTGCTGACGTCAGCGCAGTTCCCCATCCCCTCGCAGTACGACGGCTTGATCTACGGTGCTGACGTCAGCGAGCGGCAGCCGGTGCTTCTGGAGGCGTTCCTGGATCTGACGTGTCCGTCCTGCCAGAGCGCGTGGCCCGTGTTGCGCCACGTGGCGAAGTTCTACGGGACGAAGCAGCTCCGATTCGTCGTTCATCTTTTCTCCAACGCGTAAGCTGCGGTTGCCCCTCTTTGAGAATCCTCAAATGCGACACAAGCCATCGCCCCCTTACTTCCCCTTCCCCAAGCTTCCACCACCATTCCTCCTAGTGCGCTCGTCCCACACCCCCTCTTTCTCCCGCACCCCCCTCACGCTCTCCCCTCTCCTCCCGCGCAGTTTCCACCACAACTCGTACTTCGCCTCGCAGGCCACCACCGTCGCCGCAATCAACGGCTCGCTCGAGCTCGTTCCCTTTAGCCCCCGTTCACTCTCTTCCCCACCGCCCCTCTCCCCCACTTCCTCTGCCCCTCTCCCAGTTTCCACCACAACTCCTACTTCGCCTCGCAGGCCACCAATGCCGTCGCAGCCATCAACGGCTCGCTCGCGTTCGATTGGATCGACGCCGTCTTCGACGAGCAGGACGACCTGTCGCTGAGCGCCACGTGGCAGAAGACGCCCGAGCAGGTCGCGGCGCAGCTGGCGCGGCTCGCGTCGGAGCGCCTCGGGATTGACGAGGAGAGATTCAAGGGGGCGTTTTTGGACGCGGAGGTTGAATGGCGCACTCGACTCGCGTTCAAGGTTTGTGGTTGGGAGTTTGGTTGAGTAAGTGAGTGAGTGAGTGAGTGAGTGAGAGATTCGTTGAGTGAGTGAGGGTGGCCGAGTGAGTGTGTCGTAGGGAGAATGGGGGAAGGAGGATGAAGAGGAGAGGGGGGGCGCAGTTGGTAATGGAAGAATGGGCGGAGTGGACTCCCCCTGGCACGAGTTGAAGCCTTGCGTCCTTTTCATTGTCACCCAATAGCCTTGCATTCATTCGCTTCACTATATGGGGAGATTATCAGGATAGTATGGGTGTGAATGTACTTTTGAAATTTCTCAAAGGGGCTTCACTAAATGGAAATACTATCGAGATGATATGGGTGTGGATGTAGCAGACGCCATATCCCGATAGTGTGGGTGTGGAAATGTTGCACACTCCCGCTCGCGAGCCGAGTTCAAGGCGACTCATTTGGTGATCTGATTCGCAACACCCTCCCCCCTCCACCGCTACAGGTGTTGACGAGCATTGGTGGGAACACCAACCTTCTTCTTCTTCCAGTCGACTTGAAAAACTCCCCCACCCTCCTCTTCCTTATGTGGGCAGCACGGATGTTCACGAGCAGTGGTGGGAACGCCAACCTATCTGGTGAACGGAGTGGCGGTGCCACTAGCTGCGGCTGAGTGGACCATCTACGACTGGCGTGCCCTCCTTGACCCACTCAAGGGCTCAACCGCTCACTCCCTCTCCCCTTCCCTCCCTCTTCCCCATCTCTTCCCCCTCGTTGGCAGTACGGGTGCTCGAGGGCAGTGGTGGGAACGCCAACTTACCTGGTGAACGGAGTGGCGGTGCCAATGGCTGCAGCTGAGTGGACCATCTACGACTGGCGCGCCCTCCTTGACCCCCTCGTGGCCCCATCCGTCCTGGATTCGCACTCTCGCTCCCCTCGGAAGCTGGCGCTCCAGTGATGCTAGTCCCACTCCCCTGGCTGGCACTCAAGTGATGCTAGTCGCACTCCCCTGGCTGGCACTCGAGTGATGCTAGTCGCACTCCCCTGGCTGGCACTCGAGTGATGCTAGTCGCACTCCCCTGGCTGGCACTCGAGTGATGCTAGTCGCACTCCCCTGGCTGGCACTCGAGTGATGCTAGTCGCACTCCCCTGGCTGGCACTCGAGTGATGCTAGTCCCACTCCCCCGGCTGGCACTCCAGTGAATGGCTCGTTTTTTTCCAAGATTCGACGAATTCGAGAGAAAGTCGAGGGGATGTGATGGGATGGGCCGCAGAGGGTTGTGGGGAAACTTGGAGGGTTCTTCTCTCTCGGGTTGCGGCCCCGGGTATGTTGGGGGAATCTGTGGTGCAGTGTGGTGCAGTGTGGTGTGCCATGTTACCGACGCTGACCTGCTGTTCCACCTGTAGTGCCTTTGTTTTATGCTGTCAACATTGTTGGTAACAAAACAAACCATTGCCTTCAAAGGCCTGGCTGGTTACGGTAGTCTTGGTCTCTTCCCAAAAACACTTGTACCGGTACCAATAATATGCCTTGATGGTAATCTGCTCTGATGCAAATCAAGAGAACTGGTGTCAATATTATGCCTTTTGAGTCGACTCAAAAGTAACCTCAAAACATTTGTACCGGTACCAATACTATGCCTTGATGGTATTCTCTGCTCTGATGCAAACCATGAGAAATGGTGTCACATTGGGTCTGCCAGCACCAGACGTAGCAGGTTGGGTCGGTCCTGCCGAACCTTGGTGCCAGCTCCGTACGAGGCTCGGCAAGGGCGGCAGTCAGGCCAGGGGGTCCAGGTGTGGGCGATGGCAGCAAGGAGGGCTGCGCCTGTGGGGGTGACGAGTTCGCCCTTGCAGCCTGCAGCAAACGTTGGGATATTGGACCTGTTGTGAGAGGGAGTGGGGAACGGTGTTCAGGAAACAGGAAAGGGGGTCTAGGTGTGGGTGATGGCAGCAAGGAGAGCCGCTCCCTTGGGGGTGACGAGTTCGCCCTTGCAGCCTGCAGCAAACGTGGGGATATTGGCCCTGTTGTGAGAGGGAAGGAGGAGAAGAAGATAGGAGGAAGGGAAAGAAATGATGGAAGGAAAAAGGGGGTCCGGGTGTGGGCGATGGCAGCTGGGAGGGCCGCGCCTATTGGGGTGACTAACTCACCCCTGCAGCCAGCAGCAAACGTGAGAATTGATGCTCTGTTTCAGTGGGGGGGGGAAGGGTAGGCAAGGGGAAAGGGGGTCCAGATGTGGGTGATGGCAGCAGGGAGGGCCGCCCCTGATGGGGTGACGAGCTCGCCCTTGCAGCCTGCAGCAAACGTTGGGATAGATGCTCTGCTGGGAACGTGGGAGGAGGAAAGAAAAGAGGAAGGAAGGGAAGAATACATGGAAGGTAAATGGGGGTCCGGGTGTGGACGATGGCAGTGAGGAGAGGCACTTTTGTGGGGGTGACCAATTTTTCCCTGCACGCTGCAGTGATCTGTTAAGCAAATTATGCTTCGTTAGATAGCAAGTAGGCTTGCTGCATTCACTGGGTTGACTCGGTTCACAGGGTCAACTCGTGCCATGGGGAGGGGCGAGGAAGTCAATGGCTGCTGCTGCCGCCACTGGATTGGCTGCATTGACTAGGTTGGTTGGGTTTGTTGCATTGACTAAGTTGACTAGGTTGACTAAATTGACTCACCGGCACAGGATCTCGAGAGTGGCGGGGGCAGGGGAGGGCAGGGGGCCGTGAGCGGCGCCAGTGATGATGCCCCGTGCCATGGGGAGGGGCGAGGCTGCTATGTGCGATGGAGTGAGGTAGTCTATGGCTGCTGCTGCCGCCACCATGTCCACTATGCTGTCCACCGCGCCCACCTGTGGCATGCAAGTGCATGAGTTAGCAGGGGGGTGTGCGTATGAGTGCATGAGTGCATGCAGGGGCATCAATGGCTGCTGCTGCCGCCACCATGTCCACTATGCTGTCCACCGCGCCCACCTGCAGCAAGTGAACATGGGAACACAGGGGCATAGGTGCATCTGCATGGGTGGTGTGTCATGGGTGCATGGGTGCATGGGCGCATGGGTGCATGGGTGTACGGGTGCATTGATGGGTGGGTGCATGGGTGTATGTGTGCAGGATCATGTACGTAATAGTATAGCGCTGCCACTATCAGCACCACCATCCCATCTCATCACCTCATGGAAGTGTACATCATCCACTGCCATGCCATGCCATGCCATGCCCACACTTCCCCATCCACATGGTCCCGGTGTACTGCTGCTATGCGGGCACCCACCCATGGGGTGCACGATCATATTACATATACATAACACCATCATCCCATCACCTCGTGGAAATGCACGTCATCCACGGCCATGCCATGCACACACGCCTCCGCCTCCGCTAGCAGCCGAAACGCGCGGCTGGCAATGTCCCTGACGCCACGTGGCAGGCTGCTGTTGGCCAGCAGATGGCGGATGGCCGCGTAGTCCCTGTAGGGCTGGTTCGCCCCGTCATCCACCGAGAAGCTGCCAAGAAGGTGCCGGAAAGAGTAAGAGGAAGGTGCGAGGAAAGTGGGAAGGAGCATGTGTAGACGTAATGATGGGGATGGAGTGTGAGAGGGTGACATCGACTAAGTAAGCTGAAGTTGACGTTTAAGTTGACTCAAAGGTCACGCAGTATGAGAAGCTGACTGACATCAAGCAAGTAAGGTGGTGTTTGTGTTTTGAGACGTCTCAAACCACTTCTTCAATAAGGTGGTGTTTGTGTCACTTGTGGGAATTCTCAAAAGGTACACATGGTACTGCCTTCATACATACGTACATACATACATACATACATGATACATCCAGCAGACTTTAAATACACTCACAGCTTTAAACAACGAGGCCATACAACAGAAACGAAATGTGACTCGAAAGTTGAGATACGAAAAAAAAAAAACAAAACAAAACAAAAAAACAAAAAAAAAACAAAAAAAAACAAACAAAGAAAGGCGGCTCTTGCAGCGGTGCAGCAATAGTGGATCGTTGGGTGGCCTCCACCCACCAAGTGACATGAGACAGCCCCATCGCCCACAGTGCCCGGTTCTTCTACCACCGCTGCTGGCACTCCCAGGTCCAGCAATGCCACCACTAGCACATCCCCAATGCGATCATTACATGAGACAGCACTTAAAAGCGGAGCAGTGATAGCGGATCGTTGAGTCGCCTCCACCCGGCATGTGACATGAGAGCCCCATCGCCCGCACTGCCCCCTACACCACCGCTGCTGGCACTCCCAAATCTAGCAGTGCCGCTACCAGCACGTCCCCTGCGTCAATGTTGTTATCACATGAGACAGCACTTACAGCGGAGCAGTGATAGCGGATCGTTGAGTGACAAGAGACAGTCCCATTACCCCCACTTCCCGGTTCATTGACAGCTGTTCAAGTTCTTACAGCGGAGCGGTGATGGCAGATCGTTGGGTTGCTTCCACCCTGCATGTGACATGAGACAGCCCCATGGCCCGCACTGCCCCCTCCATCACTGTTGTCGGCACTCCTAAGTCCAGCAGTGCCGCTACTTGCATGCCCCATGCTGCACGCGTCACTGTCACTATTACATGAGACAACACTTACAGCGGGGCAGTGATGGCGGATCGTTGAGTCGCCTCCACCCTGCAAGTCACATGAGACAGCCCCATGGCCTCCACTGCCCCCTCCACCACTGTTGTCGGCACGCCCAGATCCAGCAGTGCTGCTACCAGCATGTCCCCTGCCGCCCCTGCCACGTGTGCATCTATGAACAGAAGCTTCCCCACACCTTCCCCGCGTTTCAGTGGGGGGTTCCGTGGGCGCCACGTGGATGGGAGGAAGAGCGGTCGATGCGGTGAGGATGGGTGGGAGTGCGGTGAGGATGGGTGCGTTGGTGAGGGGTGGGTGTTGGAGGAGGTGGGAGGGATGGAGGATGGGGAGGAGGAGTTGAAGGGGTGGCTGTGGGTGTGACTGTGGCCAGGGGTATGGCTGTGGGCTCGTGAATGTGCCTGATGGTCATGGTCATGTGAATGGTTATGGGGATGTGAATGTGTGTCATGGTCATGGGCATGGGCATGGGAGTGGGCATGCAAATGCGAATGTGAATGTTTATGATGATCATGATTGTCATGCTCATGCTCATGGTCATGGTCATGGTCATGGTCATGGTCATGGTCATGGTCATGTGAATGTGAATGTGTGTGATGGTCATGGTTATGTGAATGTGATTGTGTGCCATGCCCATGGTGATGATGTTGATCATGGATATGATTCTGGTCATGAATGTGACTATGAGCATGTGCGTGCTCATGACCATAAGCCCCGTTTAGGGTGTGACTATGCCGAATGGACCGTGCGCGTGAATCCGAGTCATCAACGTCCGCATTCTCTACTATCACGCCGCCATGGAGTCTCTCCCCTTTGCCTTCCGCTTCCTCCTGAACTTGACTGTCATGTCCTCGATTATTCCCCTGCTTATGCCCCCTAACAAGCAATCGCTTATATTGAGTACCCTTCGCGTTGTTCCCATGCTTATTCCAGTCCAGGTAACAAATGCCTGGACGAACGGCGCGCTGCAAGCCACGATGCGTGCCGGGAATTGTGAGATCGATTGCCACGAGATTCCTAGAAACGATCCTGGACCAGCTCGCGTCGCTAGCTAACCCCAACGACGTTCGCAACGACGGCGTATTCATGCTCGCTGAGATCGACGGCCGGACCGCATGTGTCCGCGAATCAAGTACGACCGTTGCGTCACAATGACGCCAACACGGTATCGAGGTGAACCACATTTCGACCAATCGCAGAGTTGCGTGGATAATGCAAGTAATCTGCAGCTCAGAGACGTGACGGGCTGCTCACAGATCAGAGAACGGTATGCTCTGATAGTCTCATTGCAGTCGTCTACTTGCGATTATCGTGCAGACAATCTCGATGTTGGTGCCGTGTCATCCGCGATTCTATCGTGAAAGGTAAAAGCCACATCTTTCGTTGTGCATTGCAAATTCGGCAATATTGAGAAACTAAACCAATTGTTTATATCGTATTTCAAAGTGTGCCTCCATTTTCAAACCAAACCCTTATCGATCACACAACCTGATGAACAGCTGCGAGGGAATTTGGACTAGCAAAATCTTTTGCTTGAACCTGTGTTCTGTGCCAGCCCAACGTCCACAGATTGTAAGAAACAACATCCACTATTTGATCCTTGAAACAAATGCTCTATTCCCTTCCCCATTGCCCCGTGCCCCTCCCCCACACTTTACCCGGCCCTGCCACATGACAACCCTAACTCCATTCACATGTCGCCCACTAACCTTTATCCCAACATTTCTTCATTCCACCACTGTATTGCTCCTGCAGGCAATGGATCCAACCTCTAGGTTCTGGGGCGGGGAGGCGGCGGGCGCATGGCCCTGGCAGGGCAGCAGGAGGAGGTGCTGGGGGGGTTGGGGCCGGTCTTGAAGACGACACACCGGCGTGCCTCGGGGTACGTGGGGTTGTTATCCCCGGGGTTGATGTTCAGCACGGTGCCGCCCTGTGGGATCTGGGCTGTCAGGATGGGCAGCCGTACCCACCTGTTCTGAAAGAAGGCCACCGCTTGCTGCACAGGGGAAAGACACGCACACCCGAAACGCAGAGGAACACGTGAGAAGCACATGGCACGAGGCGTGCAGAGATTTGCCATCCGAAGACATTCACTGCCATCCGTAGGAGATAAGCAGCAAAAAATTAGGTCAGGAATTAGTTTTTCTATACAGAAACATTCACGGGCCACCGTAGGAACTGCTTTCTCCCCACTATGTCATTGTTAGAAGAGCAAGCACCCCACCTGGCTGAAGGAGCGAACGAAGACCAGCGAGCTGTTGCCCTCGGAGGTGATGTAGAACTGGTTACCAGCGTCGCACGGGCCCGTGAGCGCCGTGGTGCAGAAGAAGGTCGCGATGCCCGTGCTGGAGATGGTTACTCCACTGCCCTCCTTCACCACCACTGGCGGGCTGATGGCAAAGTCACCTGCAGTAGCGTTGGGCGGTACGATGCTGGACCGGGATGCACGCACAGGGGGAGTGAGGAGGGGAGGAGCGGGGGGAGAGCAAAATTTTGAGTCAATATGGTGGCGATGCCGGTGCTGGATGGCGCTGCCTCCTTCCGACATGTGTTGGCTTTTGGTGAGATCCTTTCCAGTGGCCTTGGGCGGCATGATACTGAAGAGAGGAGGGCGGTTGATTAGAATTCGCATTGAGTAAATAATCCTGCTGAACCCGCTGTTGATAAATTCCTGAAAGAAAATCAGTTTCTAGAAGAAGTGTAAACACGCAACGAACCACAGGTAGGGGCATCACATGAAAATCATTTTAATGCAAGCGGAAATATCAATTGTGCAAGCAGAAAACGAAGATAATTTTTCCAGCGCTCACTTGAAGGTGGGGATGGAGTCGCTGGAGCCTTCGAAGGCGAAGTCACAGCCATCGAGCGGCCCTCGGGGCCCCACCTGGCACTGCGCAGGGCAGGTCGGCTGCCCACCCTGCTGCAGCCCGCGTCTGCTAGCCAGAGCGGATGCTTGGGCGCCATTTGCGCTAGATGAGATGGATAGGAGCAGAGAAAGAAGGAATACGAAGAGGAGAGCCATGGTGGCGCGGATAGCCGTGAGGGCTATGCGGATCCTTCAAGGATTCGAGCCACGGGTGGGAAAGGATTTGCAAGAGATATCCAGGAAGCGAAGACGGGTTTAGGTGGGAAATGGCAGGCCTTTTCAGCAGAAGCAACAGGTTAGAATACAGAATAATCAGTTCGACGACGGAAGTAACGTTAGGCGGCACGCAATGGCGTGCTCTCCTGTCCCCGGTTGTGGCACAACTGGCGGCCATAGCTGCGGAATTTGGCGTGGGAAAGAGGTTCTCAGCTTGGAACAAGTGTCGCCCAGCAGCTATTCCAGACTGGAAGCTTGGTTGGATTTTAGGTGATAGTTTCCGAGTCGCACATTTGACATGCGAGCCGCATGCTGGTGGAACGAGGCAGACATCCATCACGCGAATCGTTTTCTGCATTATGTAGAAGACAGGACGTGATGAGAGAAAGCACAAACCGAAGGCTACCTCTTTCTATAGCGCGTAAAGTTTCACAGCTTGTGGTCAACCACCATCGAAGTCCCCAGTTCCCTTCAACCAGCAATCTCTGCTTTTCGTCTACACCTCAGAAACCATTCTATCAATTCTACTGGAACTAGTTGTGCTGAATTAGAATTTTGTCATCGTTACTTTTATCGAGGACAAATTTCCCCACCTTCGTCTCCCACCTTCTCCTCGCAGCCCCCCTCCCCTCCCTCCCAGCCTCCAACTCCCTCTGCTCGCTAACCCTAAAATCTCCTCTCCCACTTTCTCTTTCTCCTTTCCCGCGTAGTCTCGTCCCTTCTCTTCCTCCTCCCCACACGTCACCATGGTGAGCAATGCATAACACGTTAGTGTGAATCGGTCGTGTCGCGCACCCCAGTTATTATGGCAAAGTGCCGTCAAGGATAGCTTGTTCTTCAGAATCGATGCTCGAGAGTGAAACGTCGACCTTCGCAGCATGTTGCTCGCTCCTCCTCTGATCGCAACCCGCGCTGACTGCTCTGACGTTGCCTAGCGATCGTAGCCTTTTCTGCAACTCTGCGTCTGTGTTCATATCAATCCGTGTCCTATCGGACTCATCCCGACTTCATTCGTCTCGTCCCAACTTTGTCCCATCGCAATGTCATTCGTATGTTCTCTTGTGCTCCCGTTGTGCAGGTGAAGTACGCGAGGGAACCCGCCAACGCCACCAAATGTACGTTCCGGCTTAGCCTCTGGCCTGTAGACTCCACGGCATCGCATCACGTGTCCCTGCAACACATTGCTACCCCGAGACTTCGCGACTTAGGTCTAGTGGGCGATTGATCGGCGCCGTGCGTTTTTCATGTAGCCTTTCGTCGCCGTCTCCTTCGTTCGGCTAGATAAAGTGATTCTCAGAGCACGTTGTTTGATCGTGTCGATTGCGACCCCGGCCGGTTTTGGACAGATGGTCACTTAGTGCAAAGCTCTAGTAGGGCAAGTGGGCCGCTCGAGTCGAGCGCGCCGCGATTTGGAGTCTCGGTTCATTACGTGATAGGCACTGATTTAGAGTCGGCATGTCAAAGCACGACGCGCACTTTTCTTCGCGGGCAGCGGTCGGGTTCAGAAGTAGGCTAAAGCAAATCAACCAGGAATCTTGGAGGCGTCTTGGTGAAGGCAAACTAAGCCAGGCCAATCCATAGAGACAGATTGTCTCAGGTAGCTGCTATTGCGCGGGATCGGTTGGTGTACGTTATAATTTGGTGTTAAGTACGACGCGTTCCTGCGTGGGTTCGCGATAGGAACGAATCTTTCCCATGTCATGATGCAAATATTGGGCGACCTTAGTCTTGAAGCCACATTCGGTTCGTCGTCGTCTCACGCCTCCCTTCCGCTCCCCCATTCTTCCCTCGCCCGTCCCCCTCTCTCCTCACTTCTTCCCTTCCCCTGCTCGTCTGCTCGTCTGTCTGCATTTTTGGCACCCCTCTGCGCCCCTCTGCCCCCCCCTGTTCGACTCTGGTTGCAGCATGCAAGGCGAGAGGCTCATACTTCCGCGTCCACTTTAAGGTAACACCCGCTTCTCGTCATGATTGGCTTCCAGCATTCCTTGTGTTGAATTTTCTGCTTGCTTAATACAATGACACTTCCTGTATCGATATAGCACAGTAACCCCCCCTCTCCCTCCTTTCCCCTATTCCCCCCCCCCCTCCCCCCCCCACCTTCCCTGGAACCCCCGCCCCCCTCGTCCTCTCTCTCCCTTCCCGGCTTCCCCTCCCCCCCGTACCCTTTCCATTCCCCTTTCGCTAAGGCCACATGTTCCGTGTTACCATCGTTCCCTGGTGCCAATCGCCAAACCGACTCCCAACACACGGATTGATCAAGACTCGCGCCCTACTCCATCCACCCTCGCTCCCTTTCCTTGCTCACCCCCGCCCCTCTTACCCTTTCCCCTTAGTTCGCCCATCCCTCGCATCCCTCCCCTCTCCACCTCCTCCCCCCCCCTCTGCAGAACACGCGCGAGGCAGCGCAGGCGATTAAGCACATGGATCTCACCGGGGCTCCCCCTCCTCCCCCTCCCCCATTCCGTTTTCCCTTTCCGCCACACCCCCCCTCCCCCTCCTCCTTCTCTGCCCGGTCCCCACTTCCCCCGCGCAGAACACGCGCGAGACAGCGCAGGCGATCAAGCACAAGGCGAAGCGGTTCCTGGAGGACGTGATCGCGCACAAACAGGCCGTGCGGTTCCGCCGCTTCTGCTACTCTTTCATCGACTCCAAATTCTGACCAGCTCACCAATCCCCCTCCCCTTCCCCCCATGTACGCCCCTCTCTTGCTCCCCTTGTGCCATTTGCTCCCCGCCCGCTCCCCCCCTTCCTCCCCTCATCAGAACACGCGCGAGACAGCGCAGGCGATCAAGCACATGGATCTCACCAAGGCTCTCCCCCTCCCCCTCCCCCATTCTGTTTTCCCTTTCCGCCACACTTCCCCCCTCCCCCTGCTCTGCCCGTTCCCCCTTTTCACAGAACACGCGCGAGACAGCGCAGGCGATCAAGCACATGGATCTCACCAAGGCGAAGCGGTTCCTCGAGGACGTGATTGCGCACAAGCAGGCCGTGCCGTTCCGCCGCTTCTGCGGCGGCGTGGGGCGCACGGCGCAGGTGAAGCTGGTGCACACCAACGGCCAGGGCCGCTGGCCCGCCAAGTCCGCGCGCTTCCTGCTCGACCTGCTCAAGAACGCCGAGAGCAACGCCGAGGTACGTCTCTGCTGTGTTACTCGTCGGTGCTCGTCGGTGCACGGCGGTACTGAGGGCGTGTGTAGGTCGCTTCCTGCTCGACCTGCTCAAGAACGCCGAGAGCAACGCCGAGGTACGTCGGTAGGTACTCGTTGGTAGGGGTCGGTACTGAGGACGCTCGCTTCCTGCTGAACCGGATCACGGACCCCCGAGAGCAGCCCCTAGGTCGTAGGCAGTTATCCAAGCGGAATTCAGGACTTAGGAAGTATAGCTGATTGGGGTTCAGGGGTTGTTCTGCAAAGGAGCGGGCCCAGTGCCCGGAAGCTGTGGACCGTTCGATTTGTCGTTCGTCACGGCAGCCTGTTGAGTCACGGGCCCTGTCGCGCAAGGCTGCACACTAGCAGACTGCGTTTTTGGTGACGTTGGTAGAGTGCCGTAACGGTTCTGGGCCTACTGGCCGTGAGCGTGGCGGAATCGCAAACGGGAGCGGTAGTGTTAACGGAAGCGGATGGGAACGCGGCGCCGCGAGCGGAAGCAGAAGCGGAAGCTGTAGGGGGGACAGAGGCGGGAGCGGTCGCGAAACGGTGGTGAAAGAGGAACTTGGAGAGGTGTTCCTTAGGTTTTAGGAACGGTAAAGAGGGAGCGTGGGACTGATGGACGGAAAAGAGGTTCGAGACGTTTTAAACTGGAACTGAGTGGAAGCGGAAGTGGGAGACGTAAGCCTGGTGGCTTTAGAAACGAAAAAAAGAAGAACGGTACTGGTGGAGGGTTTGCACGCGGAGCGACTCGCGAGGGGCAGGTTCGAAATCGTCCGGAATTTATATTGCAGAACGTGACAATCTCGACGACGTTTCAGGATCTTGAATGCTTACTGTACCCGAACACGTGAACACTGGTGAATCGGGTTTTTATTAGAACCCTCTTTTGTACTTCCAAGTCCGTCCCCCCCTTGTCCCCCCTTTCCCTTGCGCCCCTCCCCGCCGCTGTCGACTCGCTCCACGTAAGCCGCATTCAGGTCAACCGCGCACTCAAGCGAACCCTACTTTCGTAATCTGCTCCCATTCCGATCACCCACTCGTCCTCTCCCCCCCTCATTCCCCCGCATTCCCCCCGCTCCCCCCCACCAGGTGAAGGGGCTTGATGTCGACTCCCTCCACGTGAGCCACATTCAGGTCAACCGCGCGCCCAAGCAGCGCCGCCGCACGTACCGCGCGCACGGTCGCATCAACCGTGAGTGCCAAACCCTTCCCGCGCCTCCCCCACCCGCGTGTTATGGCACTATTTCTGGGGCACGTCAGTGCCCTGCCCCGCGCCTCCCCCACCCGCGCTGCCGTTTTGCGACGTCTCAAAGCACGTACCGCGTGCACGGTCGCATCAACCGTGAGTGCCAACCCCCTCCCCCACTGCGCCCCTCCCCCTCCGCGCCCCTCCCCCACCGCCCC